TCAATTTATAGGTGTTTGATTGTAAAAATACTTGGAAGAAAAAAAAAAAGGTTCCTGGAGAAATATTCTCAGTTTTACATTCAACATTCATTTTATATTCAACAGACTAGATCAGGCCACTTATTTCCACTACTCTCTACATTTCTCCAAGCTGTTTTTACCTTTGTACAATAAGCAGGCATCATTACCTGCAAAACCAATCTCCCCGCTGAGAGCCGGCATCTCCCACCACAGTTATCACTGCTTGATCAGTTCAGCGAAGATCATGGCACATGTAGGTAAACAAACGGCATAAACTCCCCTCCAACCATTTGTTTTCTAAAACTAGCATTGAGAATTAAGTACAATACTCATAAGGCAACATATAGAGTCTTGGTCTTTGGTCCAACATAAAATCCAGTGGCTGCTAACTACACAGCAAATAACCATTTCAGATTACAAACAAACTATGAGACATCACGCTAATAAGGCTGTTTGCTAGCTTTTAAAGTGTCAGTCTTAACGTCCAGAGATGAAAGCATAACCATAAAGAAAAATTTTCCACATCTTATTTATTACAGCCTTGTCACACGGGGAGCGACGTAAAACAACGCTGTGCACCAGAGAGGTCAAAAGCTTACCTAGAAACTGAGCAACAACAGCAGAAACAAAAGTCACCGGCAGTCTTTAATTTATTCCTTTGCATTTCAAAGGACACGTGTTTGCATTAGTCAGAAGCTCCGTCTCCCAACTACAGCCAGATCTCAAATTATTCTGCATAACACTAATTGAGGGTCCAGCTAAAGAGTTACCTGTTCAAGGAACCTGCGAGTAAAATAAATTATGCAAGAAAGCAAGCCAAGCATGCTTGAGTATAATAAAGCCCTTTAAAATATTTAGCAGGTTTACTCTTTAATCTGGCAAGTTAACAAACCTTCAGCGCCCAAGAGAAAAAACACAATGAGGGAAAAGCTTTATATAAATACTGCACACGCCAAAGCAAAAGGCTTATTTCCTCGGAACAATGCACCCCTGTTCGAACCAACACCAATCCGAAACAAAAAAAAAGAAAAAAAAAAAAAAAAAAAAAAGAGGGGGTTTTTTTACGAG